CTGACAAGCTATCTTGGCTTGCGGATCACCCGGGACAGAGCACGGCGCACCATCACCTTGACTCAGTCACACATGGTGCAGCAGGTTCTCCAGCGCTTCCGCTTCACGTACTCCTCGCCTCAGTCCACTCCTCTGCCTACCGGTCACTCGCTCTCAGCTCTGCCTTCGGATGAGTCCGTAGAGCCGAGTGGCCCGTATCCAGAGCTTGTGGGCTGCCTCATGTACCTGATGACCTGCACTCGACCTGACCTTGCATACCCCCTTAGCATCTTAGCACGCTATGTCGCTCCTGGCCGTCACAGGAAGGAGCACATGGATGCTGCTAAGAGGGTGTTGCGCTACTTGTGCAGTACGTCGGGCATGGGGCTTGTGCTTGGAGGGCGAGACCGGGTTGTTCTCACAGGGCACTCAGACGCTTCTTGGGCAGACGACCAGGCTACTCAGCGGTCGTCACAGGGTTACACCTTCAGCCTTGGCTCTGGCTCAGTTTCTTGGCGTTCTACTCGTTCGTCTTCTGTTCTCAGCTCCAGTTGTGAGGCTGAGATCTACGCCACAGCCATGGCTGCTCAGGAGCTGCGCTGGCTGACCTACCTGCTGACCGACCTCGGAGAGCGGCCTCGTTCTCCTCCAGTTCTGTACGTCGACAACAAGGCTGCCATTGCCTTGTGTGAGGAGCACAGACTGGAGCACAGAACGAAGCACATTGCTCTGCGGTACTTCCTTGCTCGAGAGCTGCAGCAGCGCGGTCAGCTTCGTCTGCGTTACGTGGCCACTGAGGCCAACACTGCTGATGTGTTCACCAAGGCACTCCAGCCTTGTGACCATCAGCGCTTCTGTACTCTGTTAGGCCTTGTGCCTACTGGGCCTCACTTGCTCACTTCTTGACTTTGCCTGTACTGTGATCACTATATATTTATATACCTGCATGTTTACTCTTGCTAGGTTGTGATCATTGTACCTCTTGCTCTATTATAAACCTGCATGTGAACTGGTCTTGTGACCGCTTGCTTGTGCTCGGAATTTGTGTGGAATCCTCGAGATCCACCCTGAGCTTGTTTGCCTTGCTTTGCCTTGACTGGTCTTGTGACCCCTAGGTCTCCCCCACTTTGCCTATGGGGGTGTGTCAAACATTATATATGTTGGGTTTGTTAGGCTACAGTGGGTTAGCCTATATGGGGTACACAATTCTAGGGTTTGCCATTTGTACTGATTTCTCTGTTAGTTCAATCATTCCAGTCTCGTAATTTTGACATGCTGCCGTGTCTTGAAGAGCTCACCTTCAGTTTCTGTGAACGTCTTTCGGATTTGACCAAGGACTTCGCTGCTCTAACCAGCCTCACGAGCTTGATAATCTGCCGCTCCTCCATCTACTACCTACCCGATAATTTTGGCAATCTTCCAGCGTTGAAGGCATTGGTGCTGCATTCGCTGCCGCTGTACGGTCTTTCTGCCTCCTTCTGCCAGCTGTCCTCGCTGGAGACATTCTTCCTGGTTGAATGCAAGCGATTAAACTGCTTACCAGAGGGTTTCGGCTGCCTCATCACTCAAGTACCTGAGCTTGGTGGATTGTCCGCAGCTGAAGCTTCCAAAAGACATTGGGGAGCTGTCTAACCTTCACACTCTCTACTTGAAGGGTAACAACGCCAAGCAGCCGCTCCCTCCTTCATTCACGCAGCTGGCTTCCCTGGTCAGGCTGGAGCTTGACAATTGCCTCATAGCTCATCTTCCAAAAGGCCTGGATCAGCTGAGAAACCTGCAGCAGCTGTACGTTCTGAGCTGTCCCAACCTCAACGCGCTTCCGAAGTTTGTCATTGACTTGAGTAGCCTTCACATTTTAAGTATTCAGAGGTGCAGCGGGCTCAGTACAGTACCGAGGAGTTTGGACAGGCTTACCAGGTTGAAGCAGTTGCAGGTGAGTGATTGTGAGCAGCTGAAAGTAGCTCCGAAAGTTCTGCCACTTGCTCTCGAGGTGCTAAGTCTGGGAAACGAGGAGAAGCCTACAGCTCTGCCAGATATGTCAAGGCTTACAAATCTCAGAAGGCTGAGCTTGCATACTGTTGAAGCAGGATGGTGCCTGGCCATCAAAGGCGGCCTCTCTGGATTAGAGGACTTGAGGCTCACAATGGCTGCCGGTGCAGAGGAGCTGTTTATTTCATTTGCGGCTCCTTCTCGCCTCCGTTCGCTCGACATTTGGGGTGCTCGGGGACTGAAGAGGCTTCCAGATTTGTCACCTTTAAAGGATCTACGGCAGCTGCACATATGGATGGCTGAAGTACTAACAGAGCTGCCAGCGGCCATCACAAGCCTGCAGCAGCTGACATCCATTGATATCTATGCCCCCAAATTGACTTCCGTTCCCGAGGGCATCGGGGCCTTATCCAGGTTGCGCGAGCTAAGCCTGACCAACTGTTTCTCCTTCGCGCATCTCCCTGCTTCTCTCACCAAGCTCTCCTGCCTTCACTACATGAAGCTGAACAACGTCTTCATCTCCTCCCTTCCTGCAAACTTTGGTAAGCTCACCCAACTCAAGGATCTCTGTATGTTCGGCTGCATGCACCTGGAAGCCCTGCCTGAGGATTTGACAGAGCTCAAGCTGCTCATTCGTCTAGATACCGGAGGGTGTTTGAAGCTGCATGGTCCCATGCAGTTGGAAATGGAAGATGATTGGTAGCTCATTGATCAAAAGTACTTATGGCTGGTTTTAATACTTCATGTCAGCTTACATTTCTCATGCTACCGTAGGTGTGTGTGTTCCATCCACTGGTACTACCGGTATGAGCTGACCATTGTGCTCTCATGCATACATGAAAATGCTATGCCTACATATGCAAATCATAGTTTCAGCAACCAGTCAAAATGAAGCCAGTCACCATGCCATCAGAATTCCACATCCAGCCATGCACTCATTAGATGCGATAAGGCATTCAGCAGCACCCAGAGTCATACGGTACGAGCACAAATCGTCACAGTTGAGCGACGGGAGCTCTTGGCTGTCACTCATCAGTCCTTCCGGAGGGCGGAGAGCCTTTAGATCCCCGCTAATGAAGGGAGCTCTTCCGAACAGGCAGCAATCACTTTTAGAGAAACCGCCAGGCGCGCACAAGGAGCTGGGGATCAGAGTGGTGTAATCTTGGTCAGCACCTGGTAAGGTGAAAAGGGAGTGGGCACCAGCTCCTATGTGCCATGAGAGTGACGAGCACAAATCGTCATAAGAGTGACGGGAGATCCTCGCCGGAGAAGCCGTCAAGGGCGCACGCACAGGCAGCTGGAAATCAGAGTGGTAATCTTGGTCGCAATGCTGCTTATAGTGGTAAAAAAGATGGTTATGAGCTGGTGACCTGCACCTGGGAAGGTGAAAAGGGCGTGCAGAGAGGAAGATGTGATGGCATTCACGGCAGAAAAGGTAGAGAAAAGGTTTTGAAGAGCCTCAACACTAATCAGAGTTGGCCTTGCACACACCTGCTAGGGTAAAAAGGGCGTGCAGGGAGGAAGAGGTCATGGCATGCAAGGCAGGGAAGGTAGGGAAGGTGGGGAAAGCAGGGACGGGGGGGAAAGCATGAAAGGTGGGGAAAACAGGGAAGGTGGGGAAAACAGGGAAGGTGGGGAAAACAGGGACAGTGGGGAAAACATGGAAGGTGGGAAAACAGGGAAAGTGGGGAAAACAGGAAAGATGGGGAAAACAGGGAAGGTGGGGAAAACAGGGAAAGTGGGGAAAACTGGAAAGATGGGGAAAACAGGGAAGATGGGGAAAACAGGGAATGTGGGGAAAACAGGGAAGGTAGGGAAATCAGGGATGGGGGGGCGAACAGGGAAGGTGGGGAAAGCAGGGAAGGTGGGGAAAGCAGGGAAGGTAGGGAAAACAGGGAAGGTAGGGAAAACAGGGAAGGTAGGGAAAACATGGACAGTGGGGAAAACATGGAAGGTGGGAAAACAGGGAAAGTGGGGAAAACAGGGAAGATAGGGAAAGCAGGGACGGTGGGAAAAACAGGAAAGGTGGGGAAAACAGGGAAGGTGGGGAAAACAGGGAAGGTAGGGAAATCAGGGACGGTGGGGAAAACAGGGACGGTGGGAAAAACAGGGAAGGTGGAGAAATCAGGGAAGGTGGGGAAAACGGTGAAGGTTGGGAAAACAGGGAAGGTGGGGAAAACAGAGAAGGTGGGGAAAACAGGGAGGATGTGTGCCCCACCCACCTGCACCATGTGTGCCCCACCGCACCCACATGCACCATGTGTGCCCCACCGCACCCACATGCACCATGTGTGCCCCACCGCACCCACATGCACCATGTGTGCCCCCCACCCACCTGCACCATGTGTGCCCCACCCACCTGCACCATGTGTGCCCCACCCACCTGCACCATGTGTGCCCCACCCACCTGCACCATGTGTGCCCCACCCACCTGCACCATGTGTGCCCCACCCACCTGCACCATGTGTGCCCCACCGCACCCACCTGCACCGGGGCCAGAATGGCCTCAGTAATCTGCAAGCTAGTCGAGGATAGCCAGCCGAGTCAGCTCCACCAGGTTTGCAGGAAGGGAGAGGATAGAGGTACCCTCTTCGAGTACCAGCTGGTGCAGCTGGGTTAGAAACTCTGGGAGGTGATGCAAGGCCCTGCAGCCAATCAGCTCAAGTTTGCGCAGCTGAACCAAGCGGCCCATGCCGTCAGGTAGCATCGTCAGTCGAGGTGCGTTGATCTTTAGTGACGTCAGCTTGGTTAGATCCCATATGCTTCCTGGCAGCTGCTGCGGTGACCAGGAACGAAGCTCCAGCTGCCGCAGCTCCGGCAACGCTGCTGCCAGGTTTTCCGGGAGACTGCGAATCCCAGGCGCCTCTATCACCAAGCTGCGCAGGCGAGGGAGAAACAATAAGGGAACTGGGAGCTCCTGATTGCTTCCTTTCAAACTCATCTCCAGCTGCTCCAGCTGCTCCAGCTGCTCCGGCTGCTGCAGCTGCTCCGGCTGCTCGAGTTGCACCTGCTTTTCCAGCAGCTCCATCAGCTCATTGAACACGCTGCGCGGGTGAGGGAGAGAAGTCAAAACCTCCCGGCCTTTTCCTTCTAAACGCATCTCCACCTCCTCCGCCTCCTCCGCCTCTTCCGCCTCCTCTGCCTCCTCCGCCTCCTCCTCCTCCGCCGCCTCCTCCTCCTCCTCCCTCCTCCTCCTCCTCCTCCTCCTCCTCCTCCTCCTCCTCCTCCTCCTCCTCCTCCTCCTCCTCCTCCTCCTCCGCCTCCTCCTCCTCCCCCTCTTCCGTCGCCTCCGCCCGCTCCGCCTGTTGCGCCTGCTTCAGCAACTTCAGCTTCTGCTCCTGCTTCAACTCCTCCAGCTCCGCTTTTAGTTGCTCATTCTTCTGCTTCAGTTCCTGCATCACCTGCTGCGACTTCTTCAGTTCCTGCATCAGCTGCTCCTCCTGCTTCAAAGTCTGCACGCGCTTCTCCACCACCTCATTGAACGAGCTGCGCAGTTGAGAGAGAGAAGTTAACAAATCCCCACCTTTTCCTTCAATCACCTGCTCCAACTGCTCCAGCCGCTCCAACTGCTCCAGCCGCTCCATCTGTTTCAGGAACGAAAACCTCTCGGCCGCTGCACGCCCAATACCACGTTGACGCAGTTCAGCTTCAGCACCCTCAGCTGCGACAACCGGGAGATGTCCGCCACATGGGAAGCAACTTCCAGGAAGGGCCCCAAGCAGAGGGTCTCAAGAGAGGGGGGAAGACCAGCAAGGGGTTCAATCAGTCGCCTACACCCCGTCAGCTCCAGCCTCTTGAGCCCCACGAGCGTATCCAGGCGAAAAGGAATGTCTGCGAGTCCATGGCAGTATCGAACAACCAAGGTGTGAAGCCTGGTAAGCCATGTCAATGAGCTAGGAAGCGTGGTGATATAAAGGCTACTGATCTTCAGCTCCCGCAGGCTGCTCAGCTCTCCCAGGGCTTCCGGCAGAAACCTGATCGCCCAGCAGTCATGCAGCTCAAGGCGCGTCAGGGAGGACAGGTCAGTGAAGGAAGGCGGAAGGGGCTGCTGCCCGCAGCGCTGCACCTTGAGAAACTCGAGACTTGCAAGGGCCCCGACGCCCTGTGGCAAGGAGAAGCCATCCGAATTGAAGACGCTGAGAACCTTGAGGCCTGTGAGGCGGCAAAACCCTGTTGGCAGCTGCGAAATCGCACCGCAATCCTCTATGAAGAGTGATTCTAGAGAGGAGAGATGATAGAAGGAAGGAGGGAGCTCGGTGAGCCACAAATCCTCCAGAACCAGCAGTTTGAGAGCAGGCAGGTGACCGAAGCTGGTGGGTAAGGTAGTGAATCGTCTCTCACAATGACAAATGATTAAGGTTTCCAAAAAGATAAGAGAAGGGAAGCTTTCGGGCAGGTGAGAGAAATTATTGCAGTTGCGAATATGGAGCTTACGAAGGCTTGGCAGCAAGTCTCCTATGCCGTGGGGAAGGGTCTCCAGCTCACGGCAGTTGGCGATGAGCAGCTCCTTGAGCGCGGTGAAGGGTGAGGGTGGGAAGAAAATGATGTCCCACCGAGGACATGAATTCAGAGAAGTGAGCGATTCTAGGCAAGACGGCAGCGTCACGCTTGCAGCACCTGCCGGCGGATGGTTCTGGTGCGGGGCTAGGGTGGAGAGGTGGGTGAGTCGAGGGAGATGAAGGAGGTTGGAAAGGTGCTGAAGATTCCAGGGGAATGTGATGTAGAGGGTGGAAAGGGCAGTGAGGTTTGAGAGACTGCGATTGCCCACGGCTGAAGCGTCGGTCAGAAGAAGGGTGTCCAACTATTTCAGTCGAAAAAACGAATCCGGTAGCTGTGTCCCTTGTCGAAGGCAGAAGAGCGTAACTTGCTCCAACTCAGGGAGTTTTTGAAAGAACCGATCCAATCCCTCCGTGGTTATTGAAGCCTCCTTGCGATAATGTTTTCCATGTTCCCGTGCAAGGCTCCTTCCCACGTGAAGACGAGTCAGCTTGGGGCATGATGACGCCAGGTGAGCGAGGAAAGCATCGTTGAGCGCCTCGACGCTGTTGTCGCTGAGATGCAGGTGGGTGAGATTCGGGTAGCACGCGACTGCGGCTGAGAGATCTTTGCAGGATACCACGAGGCCTTCTTTAACGAGTAGCGTGGTCACGCGAAGCTTCGCTAGGCAGCACCAACGACCGCAGTCGGACGAGATGAAGAGATTCTGAGCCAGATCTGAGTCTGGAGGAGGAGCTGCTCCTGGCGTCTTGTCTATCTGATCTGATTCCTTCGCATAGTCTTTGCATGATGCGATAGGTCGCTTGTAGGAGCGTCTGATGATCCTAAAAAGCAGGTCGTCGGGCAGATTATTAATACTAGTTTGAGTCTCCATCAAAATAAGGGTGACAAAATCAACAATTTTGATCGCCACGGCAGTGTGAAGCTCCGAATAAAGGAATGCACGCAATTTAGAATTTCACTTTCTAGGTTTCACGGGTTCGCATTCCAGCGGGTGAGCAGAGGGATGCCACAGAGTTGGTGCGATACAGGATAGTAGTAGGTACTAACGGAGCTTATGGAGTGTGGCCAGATTTCTCGGGAGTGGCCAAATGCGAGCAGATGGGGGAGGAACCCTATGGGAATGGAAGGGGATAAGGATGGGAGACGGCGGTGCACAGGAGAACCCAACCAAACCAGGAAATTTCAGTCCGGCCCCACTCGAAACGGTGACTGAGTAGTTTCCATCCTCCTCGCCAAGGCTTCGTTAATTTTTGGTAACCAGTACATCTGCTGGCGATTCGTTTTTTAGTGACGATTTTTTGTTTCTTGTAACGCTCTGGGGGGACGTCGTCGTTGCTGCTGCAGAGAAACGCCGGTCGAACAAGCATTTGGAGTAGGGGGTTCAATTCCGGTGCGCTTGGTTTTTGTGTGAAACAAAATCGGGTAATACGATCTCATATTTTCCATTTTTCTCAGGACGCGGTAAAAGTAAGGATCGATCGCCTCAGGTTCGTTTTCGGACGCGGTTGCAATAAGTTACGTAGTGTTTGTGTGCTGTTTGTATGTGAAAAGCGGGGTTACAGTGCGGTGGCGGATCGATATTTTCCCCGAACGGCCACTTTCCGCGTCCTCAAAATGGCCAAGCGCTGTTCCACTTTTCAACATTGTCGAAGAGACACATCTCATCATCTGGGCTTTTGTAGTAGCGCGGAAGCCGGCGGGCTATTCTGTCGTGTAACGATGCAGTAGGAGAGTCGCTCCCAAGTTTTGGATCGCGCTTTTTCTCACATGCCTCTGTTTCCTAAGTCTTCGATGGTGCGTCGAGTCAGCGCTGCTGATATTCACTGTCGACCTTGCTGCGGTTGGGATCAAGCCCGGTAAACAAATATTTTTTTTCTTAATAGTATTTTTTTTCCCTTTTTTTTTTTCGGGCCTGTGTTTCGCTGATCAACAGAACGTCATCGGTCGGAGGCCTTCTCTTGACGGCCGCTGTTGCCTGTTCAGGCGAATCTGTCAGAGGTGGGCACGTGAGGTGTTCCAGACCAGAATTCCTCAAATCTGAGTTGAACACTGCCAAAATCGGCTCCCCATCCCTGTCCACATTTTCACCTGAACCTGTCCACTACCTTCTCCTTTCCCCCCATCCCTCCCCCCTCCCGTTGAATCTTCGGGGAACAGCCAGTTTTGCCATGACTCGGATGCAGCAGGAACGACAGAACGCCGACCATGGCAGTAAAGGTAGTGCCGCATGTCCGCACTGCATCACTTGCATTCCAACATCTCCTCCGCTTAAGCCCTGTGCGCTGCTCGTGCCTCGTGCTTTTCTGGTGCTCTGCTATGCTTCGTACTTCTGCTCTTGGCCTGATTGCACGTGCGCTGCTCCTACGCTTGGTCCCCGTGCGCTTCACCAAAAGCATCGGTGCTTCGATGATGCCTCTGCAGTTCACCTTGGTGGGGTTTTGGAGTGAGGTAGATGTGCTAGGTGATTGGATTGCACTGGATTTAATCAGATTCCGTGTGGGGCCATGCTGTGGTTGGCTGGATGGTTGGGAGAGGTTGGAATGAGCGCTTTGCCAGTGTCTGCAGTTCATATGTCCGCGCTACAAGCCGAACAACATGACGCCGATTTTGGACAGCTCTGATCCGTCCGCGTGCCCGCACAGCATATTGAGAGTGTGCGACCTCCGGGAATTTGGCTGGTGCATTGCTCTTTCACACCCTTCCCCACTCACTCACACTCCTTTCTCACACACACTCCCTACTCACACTCCCTACTCACACTGCTCGCTCACACTCCTTACTCGTTCACACTCCTCACTCAAACCACGCACCTGTCTCACCCACCGCGAGAGCCATGTGAGCAGGGCGCACGGGTACAAGAGATTGATGCACAAGGACGCTTGTAGTCTGATCTGAGCCGCTCGAGACCAGCTTCCTTGATGCCCTGGGCGCGCGCACCCAAGGAGGACCCGCAGCGAGAGCGAGGGGATGGCATCATTTCATCCAGGCCATGGTGAGGGGGAGAGCGAAGGGAAGGGAAGTGGGCGGGGGGGGAGGGGGAGGGGAACGGAGAGGGAGAAGTTGAGGGGAAAGGAGCAAGAGGGGGATGGCATGCAGGCTTTGGTGAGGGATGTCAACCAAGCCGTGATTTGCTGTTTCAGCTGATTCATTGTTCCACATCCCTGGTGAGAATGTAGGAAATAGACTAATCTAGTGGAAAAGCAGAAAATCAAGGTATCCAATACAAATGTCCGCTCACCTGCAGTACCACCTGAACGAAGTGCTGCCAGGTCAGCACATATACGAGTTTCTATTGGACGAGAGGCACAACCGGGAAAACCTGCTGTTCCACGTGCGCCGCGAGATCTGCACTTCCTCCCCAGCCTTTTCCTCTGTGCGCAATGCATGACCTCGACAGGCCAACATCTGGCGCCCGTGGTAAAGGTGGGGGGAGAGGGTTGGCAGGGGGAAGGGGGAGAAGGGGGGGCTACGGAGGTGAGTGTGTGCGACATTTGGACCTTGACAGGCTGCACAGGTGGCACCCATGGTGCGAGAGGGGGGAAGGAGGGAGAGAGGAGAGGGGTGATAAGGGAAAGAGGGCCGGGGGAGGGTGGAGGAGAAGAGCAGGCAGAGGTGGGTCTGAGGGGGGAGTGAGCACAGGGAAGGTGCTTGACAGGCCGCACAGGGAAGGTGCTTGACAGGCCGCACAGCTGGAGTGGGTTAGCTGCTTGGTGAGGGAGTGGCGAAGCGAAGGGGACACAGTGGAACATGCCACTTGTCATTAAAAGCAGTTTCTTTTTTCCCCCTTGGATTCCCAGATATTGTGCACGCTTTTGCAGCAACCCTTTCGTTTGCACTGGCAGTCCACGCCTGTGGCTTGAGTGGTTTGTTCGGTTCCGTGCCTGATGTGCAGGTGCGGGGACTTTATAGGCTAGGAGATGCATCAAAATTGGTGGTTGTGCTGTGACAAGGACGAGAGACACTAGATGGAGTGGTGGAGGGGGGTATGAAGTGAAAGGGGGGTGAAGGAGGTGACAAGGACTTCTGGCCTACAGGTTCGCGCCCTCTCAACACTATCACCGTCTCCCACATCCCTCTCATAAGCCACTGCTGCTTTTCCTCCTTTCCCCTCCCCTCCCCCTTCCCCCCAGCTCCATAAAATGCTTCCCCTCCCCCTCCCCCAGCTCCCCCTTCACACACACTTCTGGCCCATGGGATCGGCCCCCCACAGTAAAGGCGCACTGTTCACCAGGGCACCATCTCCTCCTCCCCTCCCTTTGAGGCGCCTCAAAAGTCGTCTCAGTTCACGCGATTTTTTTAGGCGCCTCAAAAGTCGCCGCGGGCTGGACCCCCTACAGTAAGGGCGCACTGTTCACCAGGGCACCATCCCCTCCTCCCCTCCCCATACCCTCTCCCTCCCCAACCCTCTTTTACCACCCGTCCCAGCTCCGCGCCCGTGTCACTCACGCCAACGTATGCCGCATTGATTCCCGAACCTGCACTGCTAATCCCCGCACTCTCCACTTCCCACCTCCTCAACCCTTCCCACTCCCCCCATTGATTCCCACCAGCTCAGCTCCGCACCTGCTTCTCCCACGCCAACGTCTGCCCCATGGATTCTCACCCTCACACTGGCGACGCACTGCTCTCACGCAGGCGCTGCCTCTTCCTCTCCCCTTCCACCTCCCCCAAGCCTTCCCTCCCATGTCTTCCCACCACTTCCTCACCGCACCTGCTTCTCGACTTTTGAGTCGACTCAAAAGTCCCTCCCACGTCTTCCCACCACCTCCTCACCGCACCTGCGTCTCCCACACCCCCTTCTGCCCCACGAACTCGCATCCCTGCAACATGGGATGGGAGCACTGTCCGCGGGGAACCTGCGGGCTGCTGAGGCTACGCACTGTTGCGCGCTGTCCCCAAGTCCTGGATTGGTGCCTCGATTGGCATGAGGGGGAACCTGTGTGGCGTGCTCTCCTCTCCTCGCAGGGCTGCAACACACCTTCCCTTCAACACCCATTACGCCCTTTTTCTCCCCCCTCACCCCTCATACCACCAGCTCCGCCCCGCACCAGCTTCTCCTACACCGAACTTTGGCCCACAGACTTCGGCGCCACTACGGCACTGTCTCCCACGTCCTTCTCATCAGCCATTGTGGTTACCATTTCCCCCCTCTCCCCTTTTCCCCCCTCTCCCCTTTTCTCCCCCCCCCCCCCGCTCCCAGCTCTGCACCTGCTGCTCCTGCACCAAGTTCCTGCTCCACCGACTCCCACTTCCACTTCAACTGTTTCATGCCCGCATTCCTTTCACGCCTTGTTAACTCTTGCAAAACTCTCTTTAATCCCTCTGAGCCTTCCCTCTATCCTGCAGAAGCCAGCAGCTACCATTACCAGCTCTCTATCCCATGAAGAAACATGCATGCTCTTCTGTGTACATGAATATGCATTCAGTTGCGAGAATCTGTTGTGCATAAAAAAGAGCGCACACTACCAAAGAGCATTCATGCTCATGTTACTTAGGTATTACTGGTCATTGGATCAAGCTACAGTGCTCAATCTTACACAAAACTGTTGGGCTGAGAAAAAGCCCTTAGGACAATTGTAATAGCGGAAGCGTTAATGAAGAGTTGTGAACCACCTTGTGTCAGAATGTGATGGTTGTCTAGCCTGCAGTGGGGTACTCTATAGCGAGTACAGCCCTTCTAGGGTTTGCATATATGTATCCCTATGCTTGTTAGTCAAAACCCTTCTTGCCTGTTTCTCGTTTTGGCCTAGCATTTTGACATGCTATCAGAGCGGGTCGACCCTCCTGGGTCGATCCTGTGGGTGGTCCCACCAGAAGCTTCCGCTGTTGTTTCCTGCTGTTTCCTGCCTGCCGCGCGCTCCGGGCGCGCAGCGATTTTTTCTTCCCGCCGCGCGCCCGGGGCGCGCGGCGGTTTTCTGCCCCGTCACTCGGCGCGTCGCCCCCGGGAGGCGCTGCGACGGGCGACGGGGACCCGCGCGTCGCCCCCCGTCGCCCGTCGTGGCCTGCGCGCGGCCCGTACAGCCGGCGCGCGGCCCGTACGGGCTGCGCCAGGCCCGCGCGCGGCCCGTACGGGAAGCGCCAGGCCCGCGCGCGGCTCGGGCCGCCTGCGCGCGGTTCGGGCGGCTATGCCAGGCCCGTGGGCGGCCCGTTCCTCGCTGCCCCTGCCCTCCCCACTGTCCCCCGTGCTTCTACTGGCGCCCCACCCCTCCTACAGCCCGTTCTCCTGAATTAGGGTTTGGGGGTGAGGGGTATGGGGGTGAAGCCACTGAGTGCCGTTCCCCTCCTCCTCCTCCTTCTCCGTCTCCCACTGCTGCAGCTGCCGCTGAGGGGGGTGGGTGTGTGGGAGCCGAGGGAGTGGCGCTAGGGGGTGTAGTGTGAGCGGTGCTAGGGGAACAGCAGGGGGTGTGTAAAAAGGGGGTGGGACAGCTGGGGGAAGTTGAGAGGAGGCCGTCGACTTGTCGTCCGCAGCGCCTGAAGTCCAGGGAGCCACGACCCCCTGTGGCCTGAGTAGTCCGGGGCTCTGCGCCCGGTAGCTACAGTGTGTGCACTCCTGGGAGCACAGCGAGCCAGCTGCGACCCCCTGTCGCCGTGTAGTCCGGGTTTAGCCTGGTAGCGTCAGTGCGGCGTACTCCTGCTGCCTGTGTGTCTGCAGCTTCAGCCGTCGCCTCTCATCTTCTTGCTCCCACAGTTTCTCCTCCTCCTCACTTGCCCTCTGTGATAGCCTCTAGCTTTGCTTATAATTGTGAACTATTGCTCTGTCTGCTTGTTATGTTGATTGTACCCCACTTTGACTATGGGGGTGTGTCAGAATGTGATGGTTGTCTAGCCTGCAGTGGGGTACTCTATAGCGAGTACAGCCCTTCTAGGGTTTGCATATATGTATCCCTATGCTTGTTAGTCAAAACCCTTCTTGCCTGTTTCTCGTTTTGGCCTAGCATTTTGACACCTTGCGCTGGTATGTGAGGGCAAAGTAAGTTGATTAAAGCAAAGAGATACAAGCATTTATATATGAGTACAAGGAATATGAAAGGATACAGTTATAACTACTTTACTGTTGCTGTTGCGGTTCGATACAGTGACGACTCGGGCAACTGCTCTGTAGCGAGTCAGTTGTGTGTCCTTGCTGTCGTGCTGTACTTGTCAGGTCAAAGGTCGCTGACCTTTGACTTTCGCGTAACCTCCAGCAACCTCTTTCAACCTCCGAGGGTTGACTCGTGTGTGTGCCTCGACATGGTTCGCTTCGCTTCTGGTGCGATGTTTCGACACGACAGAGGCGCTTAGGATTTACTGTTTCCAACAAAAACATCCATGATTACTACCGGTAACTAATTGTCTTTAAGAATGTTCTGGCAGTAATCAAGCAGGATGGTTCATGTATCCATCCACAGTTGCTGCCACTTTACTAACAACTACAGTCTCCCAATGATCCCAATCACACGTCAGAACCACCGATACGAAATCCGTGCTCCAGAGATACGAAGCCTCCCATGACGGTCGCACAGCTTGTCACACCCGCTGGAAATCAGGTGGTCCAGCAGCTTCAGCTCGCCCACGTCTTCAGGCAGAGCCTCCAGCTGCTTGCACCCCTCCAGGTCCAGCACCTGCAGCCGGCTAAGCCGGGAAAAGTTGGCGGGAAGGCATGTGATGGCGGCCTTGCGCACTCGCAGCTCTCGCAGGCAGGCCAGCTGCGTGAGGGACGCAGGGAGGTGCGTGAGCGCTGGGGAGTTGGATAGAATCAGCTTGCCTAGTCTGGAAAGCGCCCCGATTGAATCGGGAAGGGAAGGCAGCTGGGGAGCTCTGATCTCCAGGTAGGTGAGCTTTTGGAGAGCTCCGACGGTTGCTGGGATTTCCGTCAACTCCGGCATGAGTATTGCCAGCTGACGCAGCTCCTGCAAAGTGGAGCTGGAGAATTCTGGAAGGCGCACAACTCCAGTGCTGGTGAGTGTGAGGGTGCGCAGGCGTGGCAGGTCTGCCAATGGGAACGGGAACTCGCCCTCACATGCCAACATGAGACACAAGTGCTCCAGTGAGGAGAGGCTGCTTCGGGGCAGTGCAGAGGGGAAGATCACATTGTTGAAGGTCACAGCGTTGAGGCTGGAGAGAGCATACGTGCCCGGCAGATGTGTGCCCTGCTGGTAACTCCCCAGCCTGAGCGTTTCCAGCAACCCCGGCAGGCACTCCGGAGCCCTTCTCAGCAGCGCACAGCCGGTCAGCTTCAGCTGCTTCAGCCCCGTCAGATTGACGAGGCTCGTGGGGACGGAGAACAGGCTGCTGCACTCGTCCACCACGAGGGCTTCCAGCCTCAGCAGCGCTGCCACGGGCTCTGGAAGCTTCTGGATCCGCGGGCAGGAGAGAAGGTAGAGATCCCGCAGGCGTGTCAATTCCCCCACAGCCTCTGGCAGCTCGGCCAGATCGCACTCGTGGAGCTCCAGGCGTGCGAGGGATGCCAGCTACGTGAAGGAGGGCGGCAGCAGGCGGGGCGCCGTGCAGGATTTGAGGAGGAGCGTGTGCAGGTTGGTGAGCTGGCCCTCGTCGCCTGGCAGCACCACGGACGGGCACTCCGCCACGCACAGCCTCTTGAGCGCTGTGAGGCCGCCCAGCCCGTCAGGCAGCTCAACTAGGGTTGCGCAGTCGGCGACCAGGAGGGACTCGAGGGAGTGCAGGCAGGTGAAGGAGGCAGGGAAGTGGATGTTCAGCTTGTGCAGCACGAGCGTTGTGAGAGAAGGCATGTGGCCGAAGCGGTCCGGCAGGCTGCAGAATGCGCACTCGGCGAGGTTCAAGGAGCGCAGGGCTGTGAGCGAGGTGAGCTGATCGGGCTGCTCCAGCAAGGTGCCGCACATGGTGATGCTCAGCTCGCGGAGGCACGGCAGGCGCTCGCCCATGTCTTCTGGGAGAGCGTGAAGGTCGCAGCACTGGTACAGTGACAGCCGCTCGAGCAGGCTGCACGGGGACTCGGCAGGGAACATCCGATCGAACGGTGGACAGGGGCTGAACCCTAGATCCAGCGACGTAAGCGACGGTAGGCGTGCGAAGGAGAAGGGGGGAGAGCGCGAGCTGGCTTGGGAGGGAGATATTTCTTCCGTAATGGAGAGAGACGCGAGGCGCGGCAGGAGCGCGAGGTTCTCGAGGTCGTCAAAGTTCCACACCGACGTGTTGATGGCGAGTGCCGTGAGAGACATGAACGTCTCGACGTGTGCTGTTAATATTGACGACAGATCGGCGACCGCGAGAGATCGCAGATGCGCGAGCTGGAAGAGCGAAGCTGGTAACCCGAAATTGGAATGCAGGCAGCCTAGCGAAAGGTGCTCCAGCTGCGTGCAGCCGCGGAAGAACGCGTCGAAGCCGGCCGGCGTGACCAAGGCCTTCCCCTCAGGGTCGTACTCCCCAGGTGAGTCGTACTCACTCCCCTGCGGCACGATGTAACTCCCCAAGTGGAACGCCGTCAGCTTCGGACAGCACGCGGCGAGGTGGGCGAGGAAGGCGTCGTCGATGGGCTGCGCGCTGCCGTCGCTGAGGTGCAGGTGCGTGAGGTGCGGGAAGCACGCGACCGCTGCGGCGAGATCGTCGCGGGAAACGGCGCGGTCCTTCTTGACGAGCAGCGTGGACACGTGGCGCTGCGCCAGGCGACGCCAGCGGCGGCAGATCGACGCGAGGAGGAGATTGTACGCGGCATCGGCGAATGCTGGAGTAAGAGGAGGAGCTGGAAACATGGTCTCGCTCTGTTGGTAACATGCCTCGTCTGGATCTTCGCAGATGAACCTCGGGGGAGGCCGCACGGTGGCCCACACAACTTCATCAAAGGGCTCGTGAGAAATGATTCGCTTTGAAGCCCAGAAGATGGCAACAAGTAGCTCGTCAGGAAGGCTATTAATGTTCGAAAACGCCATAATACTACTGCAGATAAGCCAGGGAAAAGGGTGGGAAAGCAAGTGCGCTTGCTTCGATGATGCTAGGGATAAAAACTTCTCGAAATGTAATAAATGGTGGCTGCTATCGTGCTGATGCAATGCTGATCTCTTGCTTGATGCCTCTCTTCTCTGCTCTTTGCTCAGTTCTGCCGTTGCTCTCCGACTTGTTCGGGTCTGCTGTTGCAAACAGATACAACAATCCCGCCATTTCCTTTGTCGCTCTCGTCAGTTTTGTGATAGGGTTGATGGATTCGACTGCTGCATTCCCAATGGATTCGAAAACTGGAGGGTAGTCAAGTATCTGTTTCAGATTACGAGGGGTTTCGTCGGTTCATTTTCCCGTTAGTGACTCACTAAGCACGGGAGCGGCGTCCGAGCCTAGATTGCGATTTCCAGTCGCAGTGTGGCGGAAAGAAAAATGCATTTTGTACAACTCATAGGAAATACCGAACCGACAGACCGAAGAAGTATTGGAGGTGCAAGCTTCGCTATACGGGACTGCAGTTCAGCAGCTTGATCCGTTTGGAATGCATGAACTGCTTCAGCAAGAATTTACCGATCTATGAAGTAATTACCTAGAATTATTTTCAAGCTAGACAACTACACACTCACACTTCCAAATGGCTCTTGTCTCGTTCATTGAATTTTCATAGACTTTGGAGGATCAGCATTTGCAAGGGTCGTTCAGTATACCCTGATATAACTTACAGGATAGTTGTATGAGAAATCTCGGACATAGGAAAACACACAATTCTGCTATGGTGTACATGAGCTTTTCGTACAGAGTTCTTAATCTCTATGAAATAGAAAAAACACACACAATTCTGCATCTGATCATGCATCCATTAGTACCTGGCCTCTTGATATCAGGGTGAATCACCCTTCTGACCCTTACTATAAGGGTGGGTTTCCGTTTGCACCCTTTTTTTCAAGAGTGGATTTTGTTTAGACCCTTACAAGAAAAGGTGTTTGATTTTATGACCCTGATATTTCAGAGTGCGATGGTGTAACAACACTTACAATACCTAGCAACTTCTTACAGGGTATAAGCAGATTCCTTCGGAAAAGACATCGCAATCGCAAAATTCGTGCGCACCTGTAGCTATCGTTCGACAAATTCAAGTGTCGAACCTGCGTGCTTCACTTTGTCAGCGCAGTACAACCGACTGCACAACCACAAGGCTAAACTAGTAGACATAAACATAATAGGTTGTGTACGACCCTTATAAAAAAGAGTGTTTGTTTTTGCATACCCTTACAGAAAGAGTAAAAGGAGAAGATTAGCCTGATGCAAAAGGGCACCTCAAATCCTATCCAGAGGCCTGATTAGTACGTAGAAGAGCATGTAAAGCATATAAGCTTCCTTCTGGGATTGAGAAGCTAAAACAGCAGCCTCTGGTACCTGCAAATCTAAAAGAGAGAAGTTTCGTTCAAGAAGAGGCATCTAGGTGAGTGTGCATGGAGGGGTTGTCAAAGCTCAAGTGCAGGAAAGAATAGCGTGGAATGATGGGAGTGGTGCAGGCAACATTCCCAGAGCAACTCACGGTTCTGATCACAGCGCCATCATCGACCTACGTCCAACCAAGCGGTGACAGGCTGTCATCCGCCACGTCAGCAATGCAATGACCATGCTCCACAGAGGTCCCTGTGTGTTGCACCATGGCCCGCAGAGCAAATAGGGAGCTGCCACGTGGCTGTGGTAATGTGGAGAAAGGATAAGGGGGTGGGAACAATGGCGTAAGTGTCAAATGTTGTAGCCTATAGTGAGGTTTGTCTTAGGGGGTACAAAACTTAGGGTTAGCTATATGTACCCCAACCAACATCAATGCATCATCCATTCTTCATTCTGACATGGTATCAGTTAGGTTAGGATCCTGTGGGATCCCGTTCCGCCGTTCTCCGTTCGTACCACCCGAGCCTGATCCTAGCTCTCGTTCGTCTCCTTCTCGTTGTTACCGAGCCTAGCGCCGAGCCACGCTCTCGTTCGTATCGTTCCAGCTGTTACCGAGCCTAGCATCGAGCCACGCTCTCGTTCGTAGCGTAGCCCGCCCACCCCCCCCCCCCCCCCGTCGCGTTGCCTTCCCCCCCCCTCGAGTCGCGCCCGTCCCTTTCCCCCTGTCGCGTCGCGCTCCCCCCGTCGCGTCGCATCCGCGCCTTCCCCCCGTCGTGTCGCCTTCCCCCTGTCCCGTCGCGCCCCCCCCTTTCCCCCCGTCGTGTCGCCTTCCCCCTGTCCCGTCGCACCCGCCCCTTTCCCCCCGTCACGTCGCCTTCCCCCTGTCCCGTCGCACCCGCCCCTTTCCCCCCGTCACGTCGCCCTCCCCCTGTCCCGTCGCTCCTGCCCTCTCCCCCCGTCGCGTCGCCCGTCCCGCAGCGCCCGCCACTGTCGCTCGCGACCGCGCTCGTCGCCGCCGCGCCTGCCGCCGTCGCCCGCCCCCTGCGCGCCTCGCTGCGGCCCCGCCGTCGTCGCCCGCCGCTGCGCGCGTCGCCGCTGCGCCCCCTGCCGTCGCCCGCTGCGCGCGCTGCTGGCCCCTGCTGCCGTACGCGCTGCCATCGCCCGCCGCTGCGCCCGTTCTCGTTCTCCGCTGCTTAGTCCCCTGTTACCTCCCGCTGTCACGCCCGCTGTGGCGTCCGCTCCTCCCCTGTCCCAGAGTACCGCCGAACCCTAATTTGCCTCTCACCTACTGCTGTCCCCTCCCTCTCCGTTCGCGTTCGTTTTCGCTATGGCGACTCAGCGTGTCCTTCGTTTCGACGCTGACGGTAGACCTCTTGATTTTTCCGTCTGGCTTCTTCGTGCTCGCCGTCTGTTAGAGAGTCAGGTCCAGGCAGGCGAGTCCCTCTGGGCGCACGCTACTGGTGCCCTACCTGCGCCCCCCGACCCTACGCCTTTAGGACCTGCCCCTGACGACGCCGCTAGAGCCCGCTTTGCCACTCAGCGAGCTGACCAGACGGCTTGGACGTCACGTGACGCTGCGGCCTGCATCGCGCTCAGCAGCCTCCTCCCTGAGTCTGAGGAGGTTCACTTCACTCAGGTTCGCACCGCTGCTGCGTACCTCACTGCGATTAAGGCCCGCTACTCTACTCCCGCTGCTGTCTCTCTTGGCCGCCTGTTCCTCCCGTTCCTGTTTCCTGACCTGGCGTCTTTTGAGCGCTCTGCTGACTTGATCGCTCACCTCCGCTCGCTCGACGCTAGTTACCGCGCTGCTTGCACTGAGGCACAGCTTGCACTGCTTCCTCCCCCTATGGCGATTACTATCTATTTCATCGCCACTAGCCTCCCTGACCGCCTTGCCTCCGTTCGCGACGCGCTTCTGCTGAAGCACCCTAGTGAGCTCACCGTCGAGGTCCTTGAGTCTGCACTCAAGGACGTCGAGAGCAACCTTCGCTCGGTAGCCGCTGCCTCTGGTGCTGTGCCCCCCCCACTCTTCCACGGGTGCACAGTCCCGCAGTTACCCACCTTTACTGCCTCACTTGCCACTGCCGCTACTGACGCGACTGCAGCTGCTGTTACGACTGCGTCGCGGTCCCGCGGTAGGGGTGGCAAGAAAGGCGGTTCTGGTGGTGGTAGTGGAGGTGGAGGCGGAGGTAGTGGAGGTGGCGTTGCGCCTGGCGGCGGTGGAGGTTCAGGGCCTGGAGAGGCGCCTCGTGCAGTGACTGGTGACTCCACTGCGCCTGCTGGTGGTGGCGACGCCCGAGTTCGTCAGTCGCCTCCTGTACTTCCTGCCCCGGTTGGTGGAGCAGCGGCGTGGTACCAGGCTCAGCGTCAGCAGCAGCTTCTGCAGCACCAGCAGCCCCTCTCCTCCCAGCAGCCTCAGCAGCAGCAGCGGCAGCAGCTGGCTCCAGGGTCGGGGCTGCGTCAGACCCAGCGCGGTGCTGCTTACACTCCCTGCACCTACCAGGTTCTGACAGGCACTCGTCGTGGCCACCCTTGTGGCCGGTTTCACCCCCCTGGTCAGTGCTTTGCTCAGCTCACTGACACGGTTCGTTTGGTCTACGGGGTTGGTGCTCCTGCCCCTGACTGGCTGCCTCTTGTTCAGCGCTACGGCTCCGCTCTGTGGGGC